GTCAGATACCGCTGGTGCGCGGGCGCCATCCGCGATTGCTCACCAGGACGGGCACTCCTGCCAGCGTTCACCTCGAAGGCGTGCCACAGCTGCGCTACGGAGGCACGTCGCTTCTGCGTCCCTTCCTTCCAGCTGGCGGACGCATGCCTCGGCTAATGCCGGTGCGTGCTTGCAAAGCATAGGGATTGCTTCAGCCCATGCCGCCCAGTATGCAGCGGGCGCGGTCCGGACCGCGCTGGCCAGGCCTGGGCCGCCAAGCGACGCTGGGGAGAGTCGCCAGGTTCCGTGCGCCGTCCGCCTGCTACTCCGCCGAGGCAGGCCTATAAGGTCTCCGATGCGGCGTCGTCATGGGCTTGGGCGTAGCCGGTTATGTTCAGCGCCGGCACCATGCGGAGCGCGTGGTTGGCCCGCGGCGAGGCACACATAGCGAGGAGGTGCGACACACATTGCAAGTCCCGTGTGCAGCTTCGTGAGCTTGTTGGCCAAGCATATCCCGAATTCCGATGGATTCCGACAGGTGCGGCGTCGTTTTCGGAATTGAGGTCGGGGGACGAAAAGACGCATCAATCGTGCCACGCGCACTTTCCGGCAACTGTTGGCGAGGGCTCGTTTCTACCGTGGAGCTTGCCTGCGCCTCAACACTACAGACAAGTGCCATCTGGAGAGTGTCAACCGAACTCGACTTTCGAGCATTTTCGAACTCTCTCTCGGCGGCCCGTCGGCGCAGCCGAGTTTGTCGAAACACATCTGCATGCCCGCCACTGCATAGCTTCGCCAACTTCGATGCCGACGACGACTAGCCGAAATCGCCGTGCGTGATCCAAGTCGATGTACTTCTTGAACCATTTGCGGAGTGCAGCGGAAGCGACTGCGTGAGCCGGTTGGACGTAGGCAAGCCAGTTGGACCGGCCGGACGTTGGCGCGCGGGCGGGCTTGGCCGCATATTTGTGGGTGGAGACGGCTGTGACATCCAGCTCGACCTGGCAGCCATGCCAGAGGGACAAGATTCAGGCACGGCGTGCACATGCGCGTGCCAACTCGAACATTTTGTCGGCTTTGTCAATGTTTGGTCGTGTGCGTGGCATGTGTGTGTGTGTGTGTGTGTGCGTGCTATGATTGACAGCGGCAGTGAATCTGCGGCGGCTTCAGATCAAAAAATTAGAGGCTGTGAAACCCTTCATTCGTTACGATCTATGCAGGCCAGCATGAGTCGGAAGTCGGAAGTGCGCTGCAACCTCAGTGTTCGATGTGTGTATAGGCAGGATGAGTTGAGCCTGGTTGCGAACCTGGAGCAAGACTGGTCGACAACTTAGCGAATTGTATCAACCAGTAAACGCACGCTCTCATTTGGATAATGTCTCGTCAGGTGGAAGTTGAGCAGCTTTCCTACCAGATGCTGGTTTTCTGTACATTCCTGGCCGGATATGTGCGCATCCCAGTCAATAGGTCCATTGTGTTTCGTGTAGTATCCCAGATTTCCTGGTTCAGGGCTTCATTGCCGTTCATGCGACGCTGAGTACGAGGCCGTGAAAATCATAGACGATGATGCTGGCAGACTCCGTCATGCCATCGCAAACCTGACATCGTTCTGGAATTTGCTCGAGCAGTCCACTGAGAAGTAGGTCCGGAAACATGTGCTCCAAGACTCGCCAAGACTCCCAAAACGTGTACGGTTGGGTTGGCAGACGGTTGGCACTTGAAAAGGTTGGCACTTGTCGGTGTGCCAAATCAAGTCTTATATCGTAAGGAATATCTTGGAAGATGAGTTTTTTGCTGGTTGTGAAACCCCAAGTATTGTCACAGTGCAAGAATGCAAGCTTGGCGTGCTTTGCCGCCATGGACGCGCAGAAAGCCATATCGCTTGCATGCTCATCGAAGGCACATATCATTGTCACCTGGAGCGTCCGATCTTCCACGAGAAGTGCTGATCGCCGGCGCTGCACGAACGCCCATCGGTTCGTTTTGTGGCAGCTTGGCATCCTTGTCTGCGGCGCATTTATCTTCAGCGGCTATGGGTGCTGCCATGCGACGGGCTGGCATCGAGCCGCCCGAGGTTGACATGGTGATGGTCGGGCAAGCACTGGCGGCTGGCTGTGGACAGAACACTGCGCGCCAGTCGTCGTTACTGGCTGACATTCCAGCTAGTGTTGATTGCACCGGCATAAACAAAGCATGTGCTTCAGGTCTGAAAGCTGTCGTTCTGGGTGCCCAGGCCATTGCTATGGGGCAGGCTGATGTGGCCGTAGTCGGTGGGACAGAAAACATGTCCCGAGCCCCATACATTGTGCGTCATGCGCGACAGGGTGGATATCATTACGGCCACGGCGTGCTAGAGGATGTCGCTTTGTTGGATGGTTTGTGGGATGCCACTCACGATTGTCATTTGGGCACTTGCGTGGAACACACCGTTCGCGAACTGGATATATCACGCGAAGATCAGGACAGATACACCATTTCGTCCTACCGCCGCGCTGCCGATGCATGGCAGCGTGGTGCTATGGATGGCGAGGTCGCCCCCGTCAGGGTGAGGAACCCTTCGGCCAAAAAAGGCATGGACAAACGCTCTTTGATCGTCAGTGTCGATGAGGAGTATTCCCGACTGAAACTGGATACGGTTGCCTCGTTGCCCCCTGTTTTTGAGGATGGTGGCACAATCACAGCAGCCAGCGCTTCATCGCTCAACGACGGTGCCGCCGCTCTGGTGTTAATAAGCGCTGCACGCGCTCGGGATCTAGAGGTGTCGCCGCTGGCTAGGATTGTTTCCTTCGCAGATAGTGCCCTTGAGCCGCTGCACTTTGCCAAAGCGCCCAGTGCTGCAATTCGAGCGGCAATGAAAGCTGCTCGAATGTCCTCCATCAACTTCTACGAGATCCACGAGATGTTCGCTGCAGCCACCTGACCTAGTGAGATTTACTATCATATCATAGAATGTCACATCATCTCATACCATTTCATATCATATGATATGCGATACCTGTTTATCTTCCTATCCATCTGTCTATCTGCCTATCTGGCTGGCTGGCTGGCTGGCTGGCTGGCTGGCTGGCTGGCTGGCTGTCTGTCTGTCTGTCTGTCTGTCTGTCTGTCTGTCTGTCTGTCTTCACACAAAAATAGATATATGCACACATAGTATACACACGTAGTATATTCATATACATACATATTTATACTTATATGTCCATATATGTTTATTTCATAGTTATATTTTATAGTTACATATTTTCAGGGGATATATATATATATATATATGTATGTAATTAAATATTTATATAGTTTTATATTTATAAATAAATGAATAAATAAGTATATATATATATATACATATATGAGACTCTCTCTGTCTCTCTCTATATATATATATACGGTCATATATTTATATTATTTGTAAAATATTTGAATATTTAAATATTTCAATATTTATGTATTTATATGCAAAAATTTATACATTTTTATATTTCTATATCTATACTTTTATACATATATATATATATACACACACACACATATATATATATTACTCTGATTTATATATTTACGTTTTCACATTTTTCTATGTGTATCTCGCCTGCTTGTCGAGTGCGAGTGCTAAAAATATTCGTATATCTATATTTTTATGTAAGTATATGCTTCTATATTTATATATATATATATATTTATAGCTATGTAGGTTTCTATTTATATATTTATATCATCATATATTTATATGTTTATATATGTCTATATTTACATATTTATATATGTATATATGAATCTAAATATACATGTATGTATATCTGTATTTTGAGTGCCTACATGCATATCCATATCTATATTATCTCTCACATAGCTCACATATACATATATGTATATACTTACATACATACATATATACACACATAGATAGATAGATAGATAGATAGATAGATAGATAGATAGATATGCATATATATATATATATATAGATGTTTATACATACATACATATATTTATATATACATACACGTACAGCCTCCACGATTCGTCCAGGCCCAGGCCCACGCTTCCCTCTGTGGCAGTGCTTTCCGGAGGGTTCTATGAAGAAATGATGTTTTTTGAAGCTCCATGGTTCCCTCGGGTTGTTATTCCTGTTGCTGCTACTGTCACTGTACTTGTTCTCTTTACCGTTGCGCTATTGCTATTGTTATTGTTTGATTCTTATTGCTTTTGTGCTTGTGATTGTTATTGCTATTACTAGTGAAGTATGTGTTTACTAGAATGGGTTATTGTAGGCTTATGCTCAGGTAGCGCTAGCCAACATGCGCCTGTTGGAGTTGGACCATTCGAGACTTGGATTGGATTCTTCCATTTGAGCAGCTAGGGCGGGTTTCGATTGTAAATGGTTTCAGCCATGACACGCCGCAGTCTGCTATCGAGGCGGGTGAACATCAACGGTGGCGGAGTGTCACTTGGCCACCCCTTGGGGGCATCCGGCGCTCGCATTCTATGCACACTCTTGAACGTGCTTTCTCAGCAGGACAGCATGGAGTACTGGTGACTACTGTAGTGCTGCTGAGGGATGTCTCGTTGTCTGCAGTGCTGTCACATGCAGGACGCAGAGACAGGATGTGCAGCCATTGCAAACGGTGGAGGGGGCGCAACTGCGCTGGTGATAGAGCGCTTGCGATGACAGCCCAAATGCAGCAAAAAGAGTCGGGCTCCGTGATGCACGTGCAATGCGCGTGATGCACACTGGCAGTTCTCAGCCTTTTATCAAACCTTTCGTTGCAGGTCATGGTCGCAATCGGGACCGGAGCATTTGCAGCTGGGCTGCACAATGCAAGATGCGGAGAATGGCAGAATGCATCGACAACGGCTAAACACAGCAGACGACATGTCGCTCGAAGCTTCGGATCGGTTCAAGCATTGAAAAGGTAGGACCTTCAAAGAAAGATCGACATTTCAGCTTACTCACCTCATGCTGTAGTGGATCGCACTGTTTCCTACAGTACCACAACTGATGGACTGAAAGTGTGGTTGTTGAGATGCTGGCCTCATTGACCAGAACGCCTGCGTGCACGGCTTGGCAAGCAGCCAAGCGCCACGCCGCCTCTGCTTCCGTGCATGTGTTGCTTTGCTGAAGCGTGCAAGGGCAGGACTACGTGAGTGGGGGCTGCACCGACCTTGCCTCTCCCAGGCCGGAGGTTCTCATCGCATCGGGGGGAGGCAACATCTCCAAGCTTAGTGGGGCTGTGGCCAGCAGGACAGCCACTAAGATCATGGGAAGAGTCTCTGGGCAGGTAGCAGACCTTTGGTTTCGATGTCCTGTCACGTCCTTGAAGGCTGCGTGAGGGACAAGTCGCGCGTCTGTCCGCGATTGGTCCGCCAGCCCTTCACTCCGCTTTGCGCTCCCTTACGCTGTCGGGGCACTGGCTGAGCAAGGACATCCAAAAGAACATACCAGTAGTGTTGCCGGTCACGGTTAATCAAGAGTTGAAGGAGAAAGAGGACCAGGAATTGCTGTTCGTCGCCGTACCTCGTCAGCAGTGTTGTAGCCAGTGGATGTGGCACTGTTGGTACACTGTGCTTGGATGCATGTATATGATGCGTGCCAGCCCAGGAACGGCATGTCCAGAAGCAGGACATTCAGAGATGCAGGGAGATGCAGAAGCATGCAGAAACTGCGGCACGGGCTCAGGACCAGAACGAGTACATTGAGATGCGACTCGTGGCGGAGCTCTTACCGAAGTCGGGCCAGAAAGCACGCGAGGAGCACAGATTTGGGCACTTAGAGCGGCCTTTCTGCTAAAATGGCGGTAGTATTGGGAAATAGCTCTCCTTGAACCTTGAAGCCCTTTTCCTTCCAACGCGAACATGAGCTTCGTAACCCTGGGAGGCTCGCTGGATTTTGTGCATATTTGTTTCCACTTGTTGAACTTTCGTCGTGCTGCTTTTGTGTGTGTGTGTGTGTGCAGCCTTGAGATAAAGGACAAACAAGCAGAGTTTCCAAACAATCGCCACAGAACGCGATCCGATGTGACAGCAGTGCGGTGCGAATCAGCTGCGCATCCATGAGATTTGCCACGCATTCATGCAAACAGCAAGATTGCACATTAGTTGAAATCATTTGCAAGACATCCAGCAGAGAGCAAGTCCAGTTCGAAGCTGAAAGTTGTACATAGTTTCGTGTAGGGGGGCGCAGCCCTTGCTCATGACACCGTCCAACGAAGCTAATGAGCAAGGGGGAAGTGCTAAGGGACGCCTTGGCATGTACTTGCAAATTTGCGAAGAAGTCCATGGTTCGTGATATCCCTGCATGGTCGGCAGTCGTAATCTTTTGCTCGGTATCACAGCAATACCTATAATGAGACAGGGTGCTGACCGTTGCATCAGAACTAGTGAAGCATTGTGCGCGTTGTGTTACTTTCTCCCGGAGGATGGCTTATCTGAGTGTGTGTGTGTGTGTGTGTGGGTTTGCCTGTGGTTGTCAGCTTTCCGAACTCTGCATTGCAGCGATCCGGCGAACCACAGTTTTTTTTTGTGGATGTTAGGCTTCGATCGCTTGGCTCAATCAATGGCTTGCTGCTTCACGACTCTTTCGTTTCAGTTTCCGTGCCGTCTTCGTGTATGTTGTCATTGCCCCAATGACTCGTACCGTTCTGGCTTCTTCACATCGTGAGACTGTTGGAGTCGCCAATGACAGCCTTGATTTGATTCACCGACACATGTGTAAGCTTGCGTATTCACATACACACCTAGACGCACATCCACAGGAGGTAGTTCCTATTTCCCAGATGCTTGGCCGGATCTTCATTGGGCAGAAGGTCGCAGATTGACGTCTCATTTGCAGCAAGCGAATCATCTTTGACTTCATGATCTCGAAGACCTCGTCGCTGTACTTGTGATAGGATAGCTGAGGAAGACCAATGTTGGCCAAGCGGCAGCGTTTATGGCATCTCGTTTGGCGGAGGAGCGCAACAGAAGCAAATGAAGTTGGCTCCTTAGGGTAGGAGGAGCTGTGTCGGCACTTTTCTATTGTTTCGGCGTTGCCTGTGCTTTCGCGCTCCGCTTCGATAAGTGATGAGACTTGCTCGCTTCCAGCCTGAGCTGCGGAGGAACCCGATGTCACGCTTGCACTGCGGAGTGGAGTGCTGAGCAAGTGACGCAGATGGTGTCTGATTCTGTGCTTCACCCGTGGGGCGCGAACTCTTTCCATTGAGTACCCTTCTTTCCTCGGCTGCAGCACAGTTTCTCATGAAAGGGCTTGCAGACGTGATTTTGCACGATTCCGGGTCTCCTTTATTCGGAACGCTGTGCTACGCGCTACTTCAGAGGGGCCGGCAGGCGTGCTCCGAGGTGTTGGCGCGGTCGCAGGCAGTCAAGCCATCAAGGCCTTGGTCATCGCAAGAAAGATCCTGGGATGCACGTCAGGTTTTGTACACTGATCAGCCCCACGTTGGCATGAATTGCATAAGCTGCTTCTCTTCAAGCCCGACATGCTCGCCAAAGTGGTGTGAGCGAGCCAAGATACGTCCAAAAAGCTCATCCGGGAGAAGATCTCGTGGTTTGTGCTCGCGAAGAAGCGAAAGCAAACAACAGCATGGTGGCTTGGCCCATCCAGTCCCGTTTGTGGCTCTAGGACTGAAGGCTTGCTTTTCCCAGGCTTCGAGAAGTAATGCTGCGGCTTCGGAATCCAATGCCAAGCAGATGGTTCTCGCAGCTTCCCTGCAGTATCCTGCAGTCATGTCTACTGGAAGACCATTTTCTGAGATCGCCATGATCCTGAAGGGTTCCAGCCAGTCTCTGCAGCACTGGCCAGAAAAAGAGTGTCAGCATGTGGCAGCGTCCGTCAGCATCTTGCGGAGGGCGTCTTGGATTAGTCAACTCCTGGCCGAGATGTTCCAAGGCCTGCCGTCGGCAGCCGGCAAGGGAGCGTTCGTCGCTCCAGTAAGCCATTGCCAATGACAAAAAAGAACCTCTGTTTTGCTTCTCTGAAGCGTGTTGACTGCACTCTTGCTGCAAGCCGTGGAACGGCATCGTCGACAAATGCTTCCCAGCTGTTGACTAACAAGGCTTGCCACTACTGCAGCCGACGGCACTGTGCTCATTCGCAGGGTGTGGCGCTCAGCAATGCAGAGCTCGTGCCATTTCAAGCGCCAAGTGCTCTCAGGCAAGGTCAGACCACGCCCGCAGGATGGAGTTAGCCAGGAGTGCAGCGTTCAATGCAGAAGACATATCCCAGCCATCCACAGTGGTCACAACCGTTGCTGCTACAACTGCACTGCCCGCTACAACGGCAATCCTTGCTACACCGCTGGCAACTGTGAGCCCTACTCGTATCCCTGGCACCCCATCTTTGCTGCCAGGCATACAGTCTAGCAGGGTCACTTCCGTGCCAACCCTGGCTCCACGGACCGCCCTCGCCAAGCGGGCACTCTCGAAGAGAGCAAGACTGGCCTCCCCGACAGCAAAGAGCAAGACCGCACTCGCCAAGACGAGAAGAGCAAGACAGGCTCTACGTCGCAAGAGAAAGGGCGTCACCGGGAATGCGACCAAAGCGACGTCGGCTGCGTCAGCTGCCAATGCATCTGACGAGCCCGGAGACGGAGATGACAGTGGAAACGGCTCAGAAGGCCTGGGACTCGAAGATGATGTGTGCTTGGCGTCAAGCACATTGCATCTTGTTCTGGCCTTTTTTGCACCTTCCTGGAGAATCAGGGAACAGCTCCAGCTCCGAATCCAGCGGCGGAGCTGACAAGGGAGCTTTGGAGGCCACCGAGCCGAAGAGCGCCCCAAGGGGTCTGGGTGCCTGTGCCAATATGCACCGCTGTTCAGGCCAAATCAAGCCCCAACTCGGCTTCGCCTTCTTCGGAACCTGAGCCCTCACAGGGTTGGATCGTGGGATGCTCAGGAAATGACGTGTGGGCCTCTGTTGCGCACCTCGCTGTGAGTCCTGGGTCTTCTCCAACTGGTTCTACTTGGCCTTCTTCTTCGGTACAGTTCTGCTTCTGCCCCAGAGGAGACCGCTTAGTGTGTTTTCGTCTCGATCCGCCGTAAACACCAGGCCGGCCTGCATGGGGTTGATGGCATGGCCCGCAACCCCGGCTTATGATGCAGCGTCACGCAATGTCACACTCCGACTCTGCATCGAACTCTCAGCTCTTGACTTTCCCTTAAAGGATGCCGATGCTGATGCGGATGGCCGGGCGTGGCTAGTCGCCTTTGGTCTTCTCGACCTGAGTTTCTAGTACTCGCATCCGGGCACAACATGCCCTAGGCATTGCTTGCCGCCCGCGATCTAAAAGCGCTGCCGTACTGCTGCCGTAGTCAACTGCATGCCGTTTCTATCCGAGTGCTGAGTTCCTGGGCCTGAACGAACGTAATCGGCTGCCAGAGTAGATAGGCAGGACCGGGCCTCCCAAAGAGGAATTTTTGCCCGAGCTGGTGCGGCAGCTTGCAGCAATGTACCTCGGCCTCACGTCGATGTAATGTTATCTCTGAACCAGCAGGCCGACCAATACGAAATTGGCAAGCGTTGTTTCGTGAAGGTCTGTGCTTCATGACCGCGGTGGCAGTCCTCGAGTCAAGGTGGATATCCATTATGGGTCGATGCGCATGCACAAGATGCGATTCCTAAGGTGTGGGAATTGTCTTGGATGGAGCAGGTTGTGAGTAGCATGATTTCGGATCGGGGGGGCTCATGCAATTTACTGTCGAGTAAACTCCTCCAACACCGGACCGATTGAGCTGTAACATGTAATCTTGCATAGCGTTATGAACTCCTACCCTATGCCAGGCGTCGGAACTTTGCATGAAGTATGTGCGTTCCAGAAGTTGCTAAGCACGTGAGTACTGGTAGTAACGATGCCGAAATCCACAACCCTTGCAACGATGCAGGAGAAGATTAGCATGGCCCCTGCGCAAGGATGACACGCACAAATCGAGAAGTGTACTAGCAAGAAAGGACTGTTTCATCAAGCCTGCCGTCGGTCAAAGAGAACGCGCTATGTGTCGACTTTTTGTCGAATGCTGTTTCAGCGACATGTATTCGGTTAGCTCGTGGATCTAGGCAGCCGCCACGCCGAAACGTGCGGTAATTTGCAGCATTGCGGCTTGTGTGCCGAATCTGGCAGGTGGGTGTTGGGCTTGCTACTGCGGCTCTGGGGATGATGGCGTCTGGTCCCCGGGTCGGGCCCATAGGAAAACACGATGTTGTGTACCCAAGGTGGGCCGCAGTTCACGAAAGAAGCTTCGATGGAGGCGCAGTTTTACCCATGGTCCAAGCCGGTAGTGACGGCAGAGCTCCTGCAAGTTCATGCCATGCGCAAGCAAGCCATGCAAAGGGGCTGGGGCTCGAAAAGCAGCACCCGCATCGACGCTGCCAGGGCTGCTGGGGAGGGCACTAGTACCAGTCGTCCAGGATCGTCCAGGTAACCCCGAATCCAGGCCCCCAAATTTCCGCTCCGAACGCCAACTTCAGAATATCCGACGCTGCGTACAGCGGTTGAGTCGTCACTTCTGAGTTTGAGGGATGCAGTCAGTGATTAGCGAGATCTCTGCTTGGTTTGTTTGCCCTAACTTTCGTGGCGCTCTTCTCAAATTATTCGCAAACTCCGGCTGTTTGCGAAAGAAGCGGGGCAAGCGATAGAAATTTGTGCCCTGGTAATCGCGTGAAATCGATCGCGTTTCCTCACGACTCGGACGCCCGGCATGATTGCAAGCTTTTCGCAGGTAGGCGGCTGTCCGCTCAGCAATGGCCGGGAGCACAGCAATAGACTGCCAGAAGGCCCGATGCTCGGATGCTGTGGTGCTTCTAGGACGTCTGAAGCTGGCTATGTTACCGGACAGATGCAGGCCAGTTGCATCAGTTGCATTCGCGTTCTCTGGCCACATTTACCCCACTTTGCTCTCACTTGCGAGTCGCCTGCGAGCCGCGAGCAAGCACCGAACACAGATTACTTGAGAGCTCAGAAGTGACAGTATCGGCATGCAAGCCGATCACACAAAGCAGAAACACATGACGTTGCAGCAATGAATAGGAAGCATAGCTCCAAGCCAAGATGACGGCTCATGACACCTTGAGCGCAACTTGCCTGAACATCCCGTGGGGCCACAGCCTCCGAACGACGTTGATTTTACGGTTTGGACTGCATGCTGTAGTATGCACCGAGGAAATTCTTGCAGACGCTTCGGATACAGAGGAGAGCAGTCAAGCCGCTGGACACCTTCAAGCTTTGCAGGGTCTGCTGAAGCAGTTTGATGATGGCGATGGTGAGATTGGCGAAACCTCTCAAGCGGCGAGCTCAATCCGGCCGGAACCGAAGATCGCCGACAGCCGATCGGGCGTAGGCGAAGCAGGTGAGGCTGTCGAGAACCTGAGCGATGAGGAGGGCCGACATCACCCAGGCGAGGCCGAGAGTGATCAAGGCGACACTCCCCAGAGGCTACGCGAAACGCAGTTTCAACTTGCCCAGATGGAAAGAGCGCTGCAGCTGGCATCTCGCTTGCACTATAGGTCATGTGATTCGACGAAAGTGTATGCAATCGAGGCTTAGTCTCAGACTGAAGACGAGACAAGTGGTGGCTACTCGTAGCTGGGCGAGTGGGTGGGAGAGCTGAGCGGGCTGGGTTGGCCGGTTGGAAGCAACGGCCCAGCTCTTCTGATAAAGGTTTTACAATCGAATGTGATGTAAGGTAAGGTGAGTATTGTCCACTATGGACCTTGGTCGCGATTAGTCTTTAAACTCTTGCTGTTGTAGAGCATGCAGTCTTCTGTACTGTGATCAAAGACTATGGTATCCTTTTTTTTCATAGAGGCTTGGATTCGATTTCAGCGTGATTTTAGCATTACTAGTGCTATCCCAGTATGCCCCGCTCGCAGGTACAGGCGAGTGCCTCACAGCCGCACATCGATCTGACAGACTTTCAGCTCCACAGCCTCGGTCCAGTCATCCCACAAGCGGCAAGGAGGCAAAGTAAGACACCTTTTCCATTGCTGTAGTAGTAGTAGTCGTCGTCGTCGTGGTCGTCGTCGTAGTAGCTGTCGCTGTGGTGGTAGTTTTAGCCGGCAGCAGCAGATAACGACTCGTTTGTTAGCATCAGTGCGTTTTGCGACAGAAGTAGCTGTCCGCTCATGATTTATGAGCTAACTAGGTCCTAATGTCGTCATTGCTATCAAGCAAAGGGTTAACGAATCAGAGCGACTCAGTGGGTCATGCATAAATGCCGAGAGCAGTTCAAACCACGGCAAGAGAGCACTTAAAAGAGCCATTGTAAGGCCATGCCAAGAGCCTTGACGACCTTGTGCTTGTCCGGCAACGCCTTCGGAAACATGGAAGACTTGTCCAGAGGGCTGTCCGGCTTGCGGAACCTGCGCAGTCTCGATCTGTCGTCATGCCGTTTGGAGGCCCTGACATGCCTGCCGAAGCTGGCTCTTGAGAAGCTAGACGTGTCAAACAATTTCCTGTCCTCTTCCCTAGGCGTCGCAAGGTGTTCTCAGTTGCACCACCTAACCTTTGCAAAAAACCGGTTGACGAAGACTGACCAGATCGAAATGCTGCTGAATCTCAGTGTGCTGGACTTGTCAGAGAACCGGTTGAACTCCAGGCAACTGCTGCGGCCACTAGCAGCTTGCTCCCGCCTTGAATCTCTTCAGATCCACGGCAATCCGCTGTCTCAGTCAAAGCACAGGGCATGGGTGGCCAGCATGTTTCCAGCGCTTATTTGGCTGGACGAGGATGTGTTGCGACCTCAGCGTCTGCGAAAGAAGGGGCAGCCTGGAGCACATCCACATGACCGTCCTTCTCTGCCAGATCGGGTGCAGCAGACTGATGTAAAAGCAAGCCAGCCAAAGGACACTTCTATCGAGTACATGGAGTACAATTGTCGATATGCACGGCCCACCATCAGCAGCAAGATGGTGCAGGCCTCCAACTCGGAAGCTCCGCAGCCCGATCCCAAACAGCCCAAGCGAAACGTCAAGAAGACGACCTCTGCAACGTCCTTCGCAGGCTTCGCACCTGCAGCCAGACCTCGCCGAAACAATTCGCAACCCGTCCCTTTCCGGGTCAACCAGCCGAGGCCACAACACCTTCCACAAAAGACACATCAATGCGACACTCGTGAAGCCAAGACGGCGGCATCGAAGTGTCTGTCGGGTCTGGGGAAGGACACGGAGTCTGCAGCTCTGTCCGCTTCGGTGGGTATGCAGACGCGACACTCTACCTTGTGCCGCGAGCTGATCGAGGACCCTCGCCTCATCCAACCTTGAAGTCCCTAAATGCTTCGCTGTCTTCCCAATCCGTGGGACATGCATGTGAAAACTCACTGGTCGGTTTCGGTTGCGAGCCATCGCAGGAGAAGCGAAGGCTGTTGCAGCGAGTGAGCGCAAAACTCGGGGTGTCCTTGCTGGATATTTACGCTTTCCTTGACGTCGGGGCGCGGCAAGCCATGTAGCCAAGGAGGGTGTGGCTACAGCAATGTCAGCTAGACTGTCCACGGCAACCGCTGACTCAGCCGGGGTGCTGGGCTCAGGCCAGAACTTAAACTTCGGAGCATCTGCAGTTTTTAGAGTGAGGTCCTTGCCCCGCAGCATGAAGACCATGCAGACATCAGGCCCTGACAGCACGCTGCTGTCCTGTTAATGACATTTAATGACTGTTCCTCCTGTCAGGTCTCTTTGCGACAGCCTGCGCCACGACATTCATCGAGGCTTTTCGCAAGTTGTGCGCCCATCAGGTGCAGATCGGACTACCGTCTTGCCTTCATTGTCAGTCGCTGCCGTAAGGAAAGAGGGCGCTCCTACAGCAGACCCGGCTGATTTGAGAGCTTGGCGCCTCTTCAAAGAGGGTGTGCTTCTCGTTGTTGATAAGTAGCATCGAGTTGGTGTTAAGCACCACTCGAATTTGCAGCAGCTTGGGGCAACGATCGCTGAAAGCGCTGTTGCGACTGCGAATGTGGATGCCAGATGGTTCTTGACATGTGCTCCGCACTGGACAGGCGCATGGGGCTCCAACGCTTGCGGCTGAGTGGTGCAGGGCGTTGCTCGTTTGGACTTCTTCAATCTTCTGATTTTGAGCTCAGGTGCAAAACATTGATGCGTCTTTTCAAGACCGTGGCGGCGTCGCCGCAGGTCGCGATCTTGGTCGCCCTTGACTTCACATGCGTCTGGCTGGGTTGAAGACTTGCTGTATCAGATCCATGCCTTGATGTTTGCCTAGCGCGAAGCTCGCCCGTGGCAACTGGGGCCCCAAGTCCCACTAGCTTGGTGTGCGCCAGGCAGCTCTTCACCGGATGTCTGGCACGGGCAAGCCGAACTTGCAAGAATGGACGGATGCAATCCAGGCTTTTTCAGCTGTCTCGGCATGACTCCTTCATGATTCTCATGTTGACGCAAGGATTGGAACTGGGGACTCTCAAGGTCTCAGGCCAGGTCAGCTTTTGGAGCTTTCTTCGGCTTTTTCGGTCTCGCTTTTCACCACTTGGTCAAGTATAAAGCTGACATCACCGGCACCCAACCGAAAGCATGGAGCTCACGAGAACCTTGTCGAAATCGATGGTGAGGAAGATTGATCCTGAGCAGTGCGCAACCTTTCTTTCAAAGTCACGGCGCAGATCGCTCTCGACCTGCCAGCTGCTCTGCTGCTCCGCCTTGCTTCCCGACCGCGCCCGCTCGTTGCATTTCGAAAACAGGAACGAGCTGCATAGCGACGCAGAAGAAGCCATCACAAGGATTGTCGCGAATGCACGTCTGAAGGCAGAAGCTTCAGAGACAGTGCAGCGAAGCAATCGTTCACCTGGGGCGGCGCGTCACAATGTGCATCACCTTCAGAGGGCACCACGTGCACAAGACAGCATCGCCGAAACGTGTGGAACCAGTCTGAAAAACTTTGCCGAGGTGGGGAGGCAATTTATGACTTTAGAGTGGTGGACAATTCGAGCCTGAAGTATGTCGTAGGATGGCTGCTCCACTGTACTTTGGTTTCTGGTGCGTCGTTACTGCGATGAGCCACACCTGTCACTTGGATGCCTTCACAGGAATAAGCATGGTGTACTACATTGCATTACATCAGCTGGCAGATCTCTTCGATGTTTCATGGCATCGACTCTGCGATGGACGGACAGGCAATTCGCCATCGTAAGTCCGCATCATGGTCACGCATTGAAGATTCCTTCTTCAGGTTGACATCCATGAGCTCCTCGCCTGTTTCAGGCCGAACTTCGTGTGCTTTCTGAGTCAGTGCCCGGAGAAAGAAGGGTTTGTGTTTCAGACAGGCGTGGAGAATACGAAGGGCAGTTTTGGCAGTCTGCCGAAGCACCGTCCTCTGTTGCAAGCTTCCAGCCGGAAGCTGTTCCAGCGCAGGCCCGCAGAGCCAACCCCAACCCTCGCTGCCCAATCCCTTTCGCAACAGTGGCCTGGCCGTAGGCAACCTCTAAGTACGATTGCTATGATGGTCTGGACATGTGGCGGCAGCTTGGCCACGAATTTGACGCTTCCAAGACATTGCTTTGACAGTCTACTGCCTCAGGTTTGAGTGGTCGAAGGAGAAGACGTTGTCCTGTAGCCTCATTAGTGCCGCACCCTCTGACCACAGAGAGAACAAGCCTGAGCAAACCATGAGTCGGCCCTGCTAGCAGGCCAGCGAGCTGCGAGGAAGCCTCGCCCCGGATCTAACACCTGCACAGGCACCCTGGGAGCTCTACTGGTAGTTTGCATTTGGCCTCATATTAATGTGTGGCCTGAGGTCGTCAAGCAAATGGACACCAATATGGATGGAGCCACTGCCTGTGTGTTGTTAGTGTCGGCGTCGTCCCTGCAGTGTCTCGACGAGCCGACTTCTGGCCACAAAGGTAGTCAGCCACGACGAGTGGCTGGCGGCCGCAACCGGATTCTCCGGTCTGTCCCCGAGGATGAAGTACATCCACGCTCCAGAGGGTGACGCGCCAACAGACTGACAGTTTTTGTGCTGTTGTTCCGGCTACTGTAGGTCATGGTCCTTTCTTGAAGAGCTTGACCGAACCCCGAGCCGAATTTGCGCCGCCGGCATGTCGCGGTCCAACATGTAGAAGACGGATCCAGACGGATGAATCTTGGCTGACCGGCAGGCCTTCAAGTCTATCGATGTGAGTCAGGACCGCCCGAATCCGGATGTTCCAACTTCCGAAAGGGTCGTATGCTCATGTCGGTATTCTTTTTCTCCATCGAGGCCCTCGTTTGCTTAATCCAGCATGATTTGGTGCTTGGTCTGTGCGGCACAAGCAACGGGGGGTAGCAAGCTGTCAACTGTCAACGCCGCATGCTCCAGGTTGGTTAAGTGGTGGCCAAGAGTCAATGTTGAATTTTCGTTGAAGCGAAGCATAGTTAAGGCGCCCAGTTGGGTCATGAAGAGATGTTTCCAGGCAGCATGGATGTAACGTGCCTGCTGGCTTTAGCTCCATTTGAGACGTAGCTTGAACCGTCATGGTGGGGCAGCGGCTGCAAAAGTACATCTCGAGTTGGGGCCTTGATCCTGGCGATGTGCCCAAAGTTATCACAGTATTTCTCGGTGCCAAGTACGTCACCCTCGGGGTGTTCGTCCTTGTGGGAACCAGATTCCAGCCTTTGCGCCGGGTGTTTCCGAAAAGGCGAACCGTAACATCAGCCTGGTCACAAGTCAAGAGTCGTTTGGCGGCGGGGCGGCCGCAATCGACACCCGAAGAGGGTGGCTGGTATGAGTGGGCCTCTGACAGATACTGGCAGATGTCTGACAAGATACAAGCACGGCTGCAGACGAATCGATGGTGGATGAGCCTGGCAGAAAGAACGGGACAGAACCCTACAAGACTTGTTCTCGGCGTTGCCGAAGGCACGCTTCTCTGCAAGCTAACATATCCGTTGTGGGGGCCTTTCGAGCTGTGGGCGATATTGTACACGCTCAAGCAACGCAGCCTTCATGCTGCTCATGGTTCTGAGGGCCCGGACGGTGACCTTATGGAGCAGTACACGCATGCCGCGGCTGCTGCGGAAGATGCACAAGACCTGTCCCCCGGACCCTTGTGACTTAGGTTTATGCGGAGATGAAAAAAGTTGGATGTCGTCTCTTCCGGCATGTCACATGTCAAGGAAGGCTTGAGCTCATAGCATGTCACTGCTCGAGGATGGGAACCTCAACGAGATGGACTTGGCACATTCGCTAGGCTTGCAGGATGCAAGCTTACCACTGGGAGCCGCGTTGGCTTCTCGGCACCCTGTGGACTGCATTCTAGTGCAGAGCTAACTTGTCTAAGGCCGCCGAGCTCTTCAGGTCTGCAGCTTCGGAGTGTTGAGCGTCTCTTGCTGTCATGTTCTGTCATCGGACATCTTTGGCTGAGGTGTCTCGATAGACACTCTGAAGACTCGTGTTTTGGCTGGGTGCCTCAGTTTTTGTTAGTGAAGTCGGCCGCCAGAAGACAAACGCAGCCTGAGGGCCGGTGGTCCACGTTGTCCAATGCCTTCCAGAAGATGGACCAGGACGACAACCACCGGCTCAGTCGCGACGAGTGCGTTTCTCAAAGGCTGCAATGCACTTCGACTGCCAGATTGCACGGGTGTCCGCACATCTTGTGTTTTTCATCTCAGAGCTGGCCAGCTAGCAAACATCCAAGGGCTTGGTTGGCCAAGGGTTCAGCAGGCTGTCTGAAGAGGTCATTGCAAGTCCGCTAAGTTTTGTAGTGAGGCCTGGGGTTCGCGTTGCTGTGCAAAGCGCTTTCTGCAATTTGGCGCAATGCCGGGCTGGCAAGATGTCGGCGTCTTGGACCCCCCTGGATGCTCAGCTCTTGCAGCAGTCGGGCGGAGCTTTCGATCCGCAGCAGATGCGGTCGCTTCGGCGGCCGCCAGCTTCCAGACAGCGGGCCTCCGGTCTCTCCGATCGCGTCTCCATCTTGACGCCGACGACAGCTTCCCGCCGTGAGTTTCACGAGCAGCTTTGGGCCTGTTTCCTGGCCCAGACATGGTCGGACAAGGAATTGGTTGTGGTGGAGACTTACGAGGACGAGCCTTCTGAAGTTCTTGAAGCTCTGGCAGAGCAAGATGAGCGCCTCGTGCATGTAGCTCTCCGTCGACTCCCTGGCGAGGATTTCAGTGTTGGACTGAAGCGCAACATGTGCGTTCATTTAGCGAGTGGTGATATCTGCCTCAACTTCGACGATGACGACTTGTATGCCGATGGCTACTGTGAATGGATGATCCGAGAGATGAGAAGCCATGGCTGGGGAGCTGCGACGCTCTCCTCCTGGCACAATTACTTCGTCCGAAGTGGAGTCTGTGGCTACTCGGATCCAGAATCTTGGGATGTGGAGGATTTGCAGGAATTGACGGAGACCATATATGGGTACGGCTTCAGCTACGTCTTTAGACGATCACTGGCTCTCTGCCATCCATACCCCGATCTGGACTTTGGCGAAGATGCTCCTTTTATGCTTCATTTGCGGAGTGTACTCGGGGATGCTCGGGTGGGGCTGCTCAGAGACGAAGAAGGGATGTGTCTACACATCATTCATCGAGACAGCACGTGTGTTGACCCGGAAGTTTCCCACCTGCTCTCGGACGATGAGCTTGAAAGTCTCCAGGTTTCTCATACCGAAGCCTTCCGCAAGCTGAAAACGCCGTGGTACGTCGTGCTCTGGAATCTGATGCGGTGTTAGCTCCTTTCTCACCTTTCCGTGGCGTCTGTGGAGCCATGCGTGACCGGAAAGCCGCCTTGCGGCTCCGCACGGGAAAAACAAGGTGGAGGGATGTAGAGACCCTGAGGGAGTAATGTAGGGGTCTGTCCAATCTGATTAGTAACGATATTCCGTGAGAGTCTCTCTGAAATTTAGTGTTGCTTTTGAGCGCTCCATGCCAAGGTTCAGCACGGGCTTGGAAGAGCTTCGGCCGCCCATTGAAGATAAGGAGGAGATGGCGAAAGCCCTGGTAATACCAAGATCAGCCTGTCGTCGCTTCATCCCTCACGACAACCAAGGCACGCCTATTCGAAGGTTTTGATGCACTGAACGACGGCAGAATCACGCCTCCAGAGCCTCCTGCTCAGACTAGTAGGGCCAAAGCTTGGGTCAAGTGGGTGCTCGGACGCTTTCCAGGTGGCATGGTACATTGCAGAGTGGACAGCTCTTCCAGTCTCCAGAGGCTCTGTGACATAGCGGCATGCCACTCTGTTCAACAGCTGGTCTGCCTGTGAAATATGCCTGTGACGCGATCCCTACAAGACACAGTGTGGAGGCTCTGCAGAAGGTACTGCACATGGGCGCGGTGGATGCCTAAGTTGGGGAGACCTGCGTACATACCGGAATGTCATCTTGTCTTTCACTTCAGGCAGATAGCTCGAGCTGGATTCACCGGTCGTCCAAGTCTCGGCATTAACTGAACTTGAGAAGGTATTCCTAATCGTAGTTTCGCGCGACGGCGAACAGCAACCAGCCAGCATGAAACAGGCCTCCGCAGCCAGACTCCCTCCCAGGCGGTCCTACTTGACATGCCCTTCCATCTGTGTCCAATCCTTGAGATCTTGCAAATCTGATTGCGTAATGTCTGCTAGGGGCTGAGCAGCGGGGACCTCAATCTCAAACCTCAGCCGTCACCGGATCAGCATTTGACTTGTGCTTCGCTGAGGATCTCTGACCGCTCCAAGCTGAGCGGAAATCTGGAAACTCTCTCTGCACACGTCTAGGCCTCAGCCGCTCTCAGCCCATCTCCGCCCATTTCAGCCCTCAAGTCTTCTGTCTCAGGCAGAAGGCAAGTTTCGGGAGAAGGCGATGCTCTCGGGACTGTCTCGGCGGTCTCGGTCTCTGCATACGATGTGAGCGGCCGAGGCTGTGCAATGGGCGGGGAGCATGAGGAGCGCATGCTCGAAAATGGGTGTCCTCCATGCACCTTGGTCCTGTTACGGAGTGGATGTGGCCGATCCCACTCTAGGCTTCCCAGATTCGGTTTTGTAGCCGCCATACCAATGACTTGCAAACTCCAATGTCAGGTAGTGTCAGGTCGTGTCGTGTTTCCGGATTTGGTGGCTCTGAAAGCATACTGCGATTTTTGCAGTAACTTATGGTCGCGTAGTCGAGGGTCACCTTTGTGGACTGGGGTCAGCTGATGTAGAATCAATCAATGTAGAGTGACTTGCAGCAATTCCACGGCCACTTGGATTGATTGGGGTATTGGTATTGGTTGGTCGGACACTTGTGTCGTTTTCAGTTGAATGCAAACTTGCTGCGTGGAAAAAGTGTTGGTGCGTGGCAAGGGTGAGCTTCGGACACTGTGTGGAAGCCTTGCCTGCCGAGTGCGGGTGTGAGAGTCAAAACCCCCAAACCTTCGAACATAAACCTTAAGGACAAAACCCTAAATTTTTCATTTCTAAACCCTTAAGCGAGAGCCCAAACCCTGAATGGTTTTGTTCGAGTGTGAGAGTCGAAATCGTAAAGCCAAACCCTAAGCCCTTATCCTGGCTGTCTGATCCGCTGTGCAGTATTTCTTTGTGCCTCGGTTCTCTCAGAACTCGCCTGACCCGGTCGAGTGCGAGTGCTAGAAACCCCTCACCCGCGCCATTCTTATGGTGGATAAAAACCATCATTACTATTCTTGTTATTCTAGTCACTACAATTATTATTGCTATCACTGTTACTAACTTTGTTGCTATTAGGCTGGGTGACGCAAATTTGGTTTACATATCTCTTTCAAGGGACGTATGGGCAACTCAGGGCGACATCTCGCTGAGCGCCTTCCAAGCGGCCATCGGAGCCTTCGAGCCGCTTCTGGGAGTTCCTTGGAGGATAGAGAATAACATGAATCTGAGATATATATCTATAGATCTGTGTATATATATATACATATACCTACGTAGGTACGTAGATACATACATACATACATACAGTATAGCACATACAGGTATTGTGTTTGGTCAGGGTTTACATACGGTTAGTATATATACAGATATGCGTGTGTAAACGAATAAAAAACACATGCACATACATACATGCATGCATGCATGTATACATACAAAAATACATAAACATGCATACACACATGCAGACATACACACATACACACACATACACACACATACCCACTCATACATACATACATACATACATGCATACATACATACATACATATACTTCCGTGTGTGTATGTATATGTATGTGTGTATACGTATGGGTTTCAGACCCCGGCGAATACCTTGTCAGTTCGCCTTCCTGCGTACGCAGCAAAATGCCACAGCATCATGATGACATCCCTCTCCACACAAACTGCAGGCATGCACCATCAATTACAAATCTGCGCCGCATGCAGTGTAATTCCGAACTCGTGGAGCCTAATTTGGCTCGTCTCATGGAGACTCTCTGAGCCCATGCAGCATCAGCATCAACTGCCATGCGCGTTGGGTTGTCCACGGTTTCCGGGTTTAGTGCTCGGGTCTAGGGGTACACCGTAGCACTCCGTCCCCGTTTCAGTTTGCAGCATCTGTCGGCAGACTGGACAGAAGTCCACGTGTTTCAACTTGATTGTTTTATTGGAAACCTTGATGCAAGTCTGAATTGACGAGTATCTTCTCATCTTCCCTGCCTAGCGACTCGTTCAGCAATGCAGGAGGCAAACAAAAATCCTGAAACCCTAGCAACACGAGCTGCTGTGGGCTGCTAGCAGTTTGAGCCAAGGGTGAAACCGCCAGCGCCCGGAGCCCAGCTGCAGGCCAGAGGTCCGGAAGTCCCACAGTTTAGGATGTAGGGTTTTGGGACTGAAGGGTAGAAAGGTTTAGAGCTTGCGACTTTTAGGGTTTTTGGGGCTTACATGAGGAACAGGAACAAAGGTTTGTAAGCGGGGCTTTAAGAGGCTTAGGTGTGTTCACCCAAGACAGCAGCGTTCAGCCAGGACCCTCGCCTGCTTGTCGAGTGCGAGTGCCAAAAAAAGCGGGGCTTTAGCTTGCCACTCCGAAACATTCCGAAACCAAGGCCTTGTTCAACAAGATTGACGCGGACCACAATGGCTTTATCAGCAGCCAAGAGTGCCCGGGCATGCCTATGCTGGAGAACTCGTCTGCCGCTTTGCCTCACCATTCGGAAAGCTTGGCATTGCAGGTGTTTCCTATCGCAGCAAGAACTGCGGGAGCAGCTTTCATCCGTGAAGTCGCTGCGCAACCTGTGCGCCCTCGTGCTGGGCATCGCTACTTGTACTCAGGAGTTTGCTAGGGCACATGTGCACGCAGGTTCTGCGACGCTGATTTCAACAACGATGGTCAGCTTTCGCGGGACGAAGCTCGGCTTGTGCCGGCAGCGAACATGTTTGAGACTGGTCGTGACATGGCACATTCTGTATGCTTCTGTGCTCAGCTCAGGAATTCGGGAGACTTGGCAGGCTCTTGAACAAGGGGTCATCTGCGGAGAGGTATTCAGCAGGAGACTCTGCAGCCACGACCTGAAAGCTCCGACGGTCCTGCTGTGGTTGACCCAGGCCTACTTCGATGAGCTAGCCGGGACTGGCCAGCCGCCGCTGACACTGTTCGATCCCCAGTTGCAGCTGTGGCTGGGTTCGCTCATTCCTTGCATTGCGCACACCTGAGCTTGGCTGCAGGGCAGCTCTTGAGACGCTGGCTGGCAGATCCGATTCTTCCCAGCACGCACTGCCCGAGTCCCAGCGCCTTGTCATTGATGGTGTGGTGTTCCGTGCTGTGGCTTCCAGGTCCAAAGAAGAGAGCTCCAAGTACAACCTCCCTGCAATTCTTCATGGAAAGTGCATTCTCAGTGTGCGGGCCACGGGCAGCACACAGATCTGCGCACTCTGGAGCTTTGTTGCACCAGGTAAAGGGGGACAATGTCCCACCAGGATTGAGTGAGAAGGTGCCTGCCACAGACACATGTCTCCCATGCCTGTTGGAGACTCGTATGGAGGTGGGCAAGGCTTTCTCCACCACCCTCTCGCAGCAGCTCGGGGTCACAGTCAGAGTCGCAGGGTCGCAGGTGCGGCGTTTTCAGCAGTCTCCTCTGAGTTTGGCAACAATCCTCCAGCCTTCGCTGGTGCAAAAAACTCTGTGGCACGTCACCTTCCAGGAGCAACGTGGAACAACATCAAAAGAGTTTGATGTGCTGTACACTTCCAAGACACAAGATGGTGCAGCGAGCGTCTGAGTGAGCTGAAACCCAGCCGTGTCTCAGCCTCTTTGTCGTTGTTCGTTGACGGTCGAGGTGGTTATGCACAAGCTGCACGACAATGCTGAGCTCCTGGATGCACTCCCCATCAATACATGTCTGCCGCACTTCTGAGCTCCTCGCAAGGCCGGCAGCATTCAGTCGGAGTTGGAACAAGCAGTTGCAGCGGACGGGGGCTCAGAAGGCAGCAAAAGGACGGGGTGAATCGAGACGGACGCTTGGTGGCTGCATGTGCACATTGCTGCAGATGATCTCAACATCTGCTTCCACGAATGTGCGGTGCTTGGAGTTTACGGCATCGTAGAGCCATGAGCGCGCAATCGTTCGATGTCAGGCTTGGTGCAAGAGCACTCTGGACTTTTACGGTCCTGAGGTTCGGGAAGATAACGCATCGTTGAGTGTGGTGCTGTCCCCGCTCGCAGGCGGGCAATCTCCCAAAAGGCCAAAAAGTCACGCAGGAATTTGGCATGAGCCCCGGTCAGCTCGGCTCAGTAGCTGCGAGTCATCGAAAACTCCGGAAAGCAGCTGAGCGAAGGTCAGCTGGCCGGTCGGGCCAAGGAAAGTGCGGTCCCGCCGCTTCCCATGGCTCTCTTGTCAAGTCGGTTCTGTTTGCTTTCCAGCTTTGCTAAGGTATGTCACAGGGCACTGAGGTCTGGAAAAGCCTAGCTTCCAGCTGGGCCTAGCTGGCATGCTCGCAAGCGCCCCTCGCAAGCCCTGAAGATGGGAACGCAGCCGTGCCTTTAGGACCAGCGTAACTAGCCGTAGCATGTCGGTCAAGGAGCTATGAAGGGCTTGGGCTTCGTTCTGCTGCGTGCGTTGCCATGCCATGTACATTTGGTGTCACTTCGTTGTGTGTCGTTTGCATCCGGACTGGCTCGTAAGCTGACCATGCAAAATCGTCTCTACTGAGTGCTGTGAGAAGCTTTGGGACGCCTCGCCAGTCCGCTTCACAAAATTCAAGCTGTGAATTGCAGCCCTGCAACGCAAACCTGACGGCTAAACGGCCGAAATAAGAGCACCAGCCAGAGCTGTTGTGACTTGAGTCATCAAGTACCGCCTTCACTTCCATGCACATGCCTTGGGCGTGATCTAACCTTGCAGCTTTTGGGATCGAAGAAGACGAGCTCTCCCACTCTGGCCATGCAGGGCTGCAGCCTCAGAAGAGGGGGCTGACGGAGTTCAGAGACGGGAGCCGAGTCGAGGCCCAGCGCCAGTGTCGCTTCGCTTGGTCTCGAGACCGGCGGAGGCCACAAGTTGCCAGCTGCCAGCTATGGCTGCTGATGCAGGCATGCTTCTACCATTCTACCAGCGGCCTTTCTTGTAGGCTTATCGCGCGCGCCGTGCTGGTCAAGCAGACCCGGCATCACCTCTTCCAGGCCCATATCTGTTCAGATCTTTTCAGATGTGGCAGCGATTTTCCTGAGGCCGATGCTATGTAGCGCTGGCAACTTCAGTCTTCGTTGCCATGAAGTCGAACTCTGCTCGGCGCCCTGCGTCCTCGCAGATCTTAGCGAGAGTGCTACGGCGAGCCAGGCGGAAGAAGCGAGAAGAGACAGAGTTTGACCCTATCGTCGAATACCGCCGGGTGCAGGAGGATCCGATTGGCTCTTGGAGCTTCTTGGAAGACGGCGAGTTCGCAACGCGTGTGCTGGCATGCTCTGCCACCGCATTCCTGCCCGCACTCTTGTTGACCACGGTGGTTTTTCCACCCGCAGATGAGGATGGAATCATTTTCCAAAACATGATCGCCTCCTTCTTCTATGCCATCGCGCTTGCATTCTTCTTTACTTTCCTTCTTCTTCTGCGCATTGGTGGCCTTCTGGACCCCTTGAACAAGAATCTCCTGGCAAAGTCTTACGTCGTGGAAGACAGCAGAGATCAAAAAAGCCAGCGGAACTTCGGACCCGGGGACGGAGGCTACTACTCGGAGCTGCGGGTTAAACCGGAAGATGAGCGTCAGCGAGACAAGCTCTTAGGCGAGTACACCACAGCACCGGCCATGGCAAGGCTACGGAAATATTTGCTGGGATCGATAGCGCTGCTAGCTCTTGGATGGACTGGTGGGGCTCTATCAGGCGCGGAGATGCGTCAAGACCTGGAACGCGAAGAGGAGGAGGGGGCCTGTGGAACGGGATGCATTCCGGGCTTCGATGTGGATGACGCCACGCTCGTAAAGAGGAGTTCCTGGATTTTCAACCGCTAGGGGAGTTGCTGGAGAAAAGCGAGTCTGTCAGTCCTCCCGTGTTCCTGCAGACTAGGGAGCATGATGCATTCTGGCATGTCGTGCTCCTGCAGTGTATATAAATATGTGAAAATACAACACTCGCCGAGCCCACCTGCCAGCCGTGACAGGATGCTCTTCTGGCAGAGGTAGTCCGTCGTTTGCACAGCAACTTGCAGCCCTTGAACGTAGCATTTCCGCGCGAAGTGAGCGTGCCAGGGCCTCAGAAGCTGGACGGAGCTGGGACTCTCGGGGACGACCGAAGACCGCAGTGTGGTAGAGCCAGCAGCTAACTCTGCAAAAGACATGTCATTCTTAGCGGCGGGAGGAAAAGTCCTAGGCCATTCCGACTATAAGCCTCGTTGTCGAGGCAACCACAGATCTGAGGGCAACCAAGAACAGGCTACACATCAAAACTGTTGAACCACAGGTGGTGTGCATTCCGAGCAACACCAGGGTAAGCCTTGTCTTTGGGAGCTCGGCCCACAACCAGCCATGGCGAACATGACCGGGTCAAATCTCAGCATGTTGGGGAGCTTGCATGATGGGCAAACGGAAAGCAGGCCGGAATAGGCCAGAGTGGGAAAACTGCCCGACGAGATCATGGCACACGTCCTTGTTGTGTAGAGCTCAAGTGTGAGGCACAAGCTATATGAGACCACAGAGCGTACATTGCGAGCAAAACCGGGGTAAAACTAGAGCTGGTCACGGTTCATGGATTAGGCTCAGGCGCATCAGTGTTCACTGCCGGTGGTCTGTGACCTTTGGCCTCATGGAAGCATCGTGGTGCAGTGTGTCTTGCTGCCGCTGTGACCCGCGTGCTCTACCGGCTGCGGGAGCAGCTGCCACCGCTTGATGCGTGAATCGCTGGAGAGTCTCTTGGACACGCCAATTTGGAGGACTTTGCCAAGCCAGCAGGCCGGGCGTCCTTGGTTGAAGTATCTCATCCTCGTCCCCTTGGGCCAGCTAGCCTTCATCGCATTTTCCATCATCGTCGTCGTGCCGATAGCATCTACATCGCTCTTCGGCACTGCAGAGGCAACTCTGAACAAATGCCTCACGTCTCATCTGATGCTGATAGTGATCCTGATCCCCATCGTGGGTGCTGTTGTCTACGATCTGGGTCGGGAAGTCGTGGTGCTGAGAAAGCTGTGGCGCGGCCGACAGAGGGCAGAACTGCCCACTGACAGGCCTTTGCTGACTCATGCGGTCGTCATTACAGAATACAAGGAGCCGCTGGATGTATTGGCAGCCACCGTGGCTTCGCTCCAAGAGCAGACCCTGGCACACAACACGATTGTGGTTTTGGCGCAGGAGGCTCGGGATCCCGGAGCGGAAGAGACTTTCTTGAGCCTGAAAGCGGCAGAGAAGTCCTTCTTTCGTTTCATGTGCACCCGTCACGAGCTCCAGCCTGGAGAGGTTGCCGGCAAGTCAAGCAACGAAAACCTTGCGGTCCGTCAGCTCTACAGCCGCGTGCTGGACATGGGTTTGGACCCCTTCACGGTCATGGTTACAGTGGCAGATGCTGATTCCTACTTCGACCGCGTGTTTCTCGAGCAGGTGGAGTCGGAATTTTGGCGCACACCGGACGGCCGCCGTATGCTGTTCGACTCGCCGATCAACACGGTGCGCAACCTTGCAGAGTGCAATCTGCTAGTGCAGTGTTACGAGATTTACCGCTGCCAGACGGTGACATTCAACCATATGACCATGCAGCCCTGTCAGTCAAACTATAGCATGATGCTGGGATTTGCTCATGAGCTGAACTACTGGGATCCGGACAACACATCCGAAGATCTGCACACCACACTGAAAGCCATCGCATACACCAGTGCGCCCGCCGACTGCGTTGTCACCGTCTGGAGCCTCATCATGAATGATTCGGTGACCGGTTTCCGGGACCGATGGGTACAGGCCAAGCGACACATGTGGGGTGTGGAGGAAGTTGCTTGGATTATTTCACTTTTCCCAGTGCTCCGATGGCGGGTATGGTACCGAATGCTGGGAATCACAGCGGATAACCTCCTGAAGGCCACGATTCCGTCGTGGATCATTTTCTGCTTCCCACAGACCTGGCGGGCGCTCATGGATCTGGGGCCGAGCACGCTATCTCTGGTGCTGGCTGGCTGCATTCTGTCGTTCTGCTACGGGTGGGTGAAGTTCTTCGCACGCGAGGCCTTCATGCGAAAGTACATTCTGGGTCACCGACGCGACATCCTAGTCCCCATGCAATGGTGGAGGTGGGCCATCCTCGTGCTTTCGTACCCCATTGTTCTTCCCATCTCGCAAGCCATCTTCGTCACAATGGCAGGCTGGCGTATGCTTTGGCATGCCGTCTTCCACAGCCAGCTGAAGTATGTCACTGCCCCGAAGCAATTTAGCCCAAAAGCAGCCGTGGAGATGCAGCAGGCGAGTTTCAGTTTCACAGGTGACGGGTGACCTGGGAGTGGAAGGGCGAGATGGAGCCGAGATGAACCGAATCAGGCTGGCGAAGCGCCCGATGGCGAATCGCACTCCAAGGTGTCGATCACTACCAGCCCGTTCGGCCCATGCGCTGCTGCTGAGGGCGGACCGGGCACTTGCAACAACGGCTGATCTGAGCGAGGCTGCATAGGACATGTGAGATGCGAACTCCGTTGACTCATTGACGCGCGAAAGCAGATGGCCGGTGAGGTTGCGAGTGCTGCTGCTTGAGCCTGACATCTCTTCAGAAGCCCGGCACAAAGTGATGTCGAGCGACCTGTGAGGTCCTCCAGCCCAGCATGTTCGCCCCGAGAGCGTCAAGTCTGCAGCCGATCAGCGAGCAGGCATAGCAGGGCAGGGCCGGGCAGGGCGGAGGGTTTGTTTAGAGCGCCGAAGTTCGCTTTTGAGGCCACCTGGCAACCTCCAGGGACCGGGACCTTCGGCGTGGCGCTCAGAAAGAAAGCGGCTGGGCGAGGACAACTCAATTCTGGCCCTCCATGCACAGGCGCTCCGGCACTCGGTCAAGACCATGCCGCTGGACAGATGCACGGTTCAGGTGCATCCACAAGTTCAGGATGTGCCAGTAACATGAATCTACAACAATCTCAGTCATGGCAAGACAGGTTGGTCCATGGATCCACCCCCACCTTCATTTCAGACGCATCGGCTTGGGGCTGCTGCGAACAGGCTGACAACGCCATCAACTCCACCACTAACTTCTGGTGTACGGATATTTCGCGATCGCTGGCTTCAGGCGATCCACTCCATTTGCAGGCATCTCCAGCAGCATGAACATGATGGGCTGCCCGGCCGAAGCAAAGCTTGCCAGTTCGCGTCCTCGACATGCCGGCTAGCAGCTGAGGTTCCCAGCTGTTGGCCGGTGGACGGCGCATGATGGGCGAAGGAGTGGGAGGTGCACGCGGGAGTTCTCGGGTGGAGGGTGACGGAGGGTGTTGTGCCCTGCTCTCCAAGTGGAGTTTGGCACTGGCAGGATACCCAGACCGCATGGTGGGCCAGGGCGGCTTCGTGCAGGGACCAGAGGGCAATCAAGCAAGTGCGCCTGCAGTTAGGGAGGTGCCAAAACGGCTCGGGAAGAGCAGTTTGGCAGGTGGCACTCGCATACCATGGCTCGTCAAGCAGCAGGACCCGGCAAGCCTTCAGGTAGAAGGACGGGGGCCGGGGGGGCGGAAGTTCCGCCGAAAAAGAAAGTCTCCGAATGCGACGCTGCCAGGTCCTCGACCTCCCCCTGCTCCAGACGAGGCCGCAGAGGGAGAAAGGACCCGAGGAAGGCTCTGTGTGTGAGAGTCTCCCGGGCCAGGCTCCCAAGGGCATCCAGGCCGAAATGCTATGCTTCTGTGGTCCCTTGATGTTCCTTGTGAGAGAACTCAAAGATGGCAACTGCTTGCCCTCGCTCTTATGGCTCAAGCGGTGCCCCTGGATGTGATTAACACTCCACACTCCAGGGTAACACCTTCCTTTGTACCGCGGCAAAGCATGAATGCACGAGTCCGGGTAGTTCCCGGGGGGGCTGCGCTCGGTAGGATCTCCAAGTCTCTCGCTCGTCCGTGAGGTAACCGCATATCGAACCTGGATTCTCACAGGCGCTGGACTGCGCAGGCAGAACTGCACTAGCTGCACCTTGTGTCCTCTGCTGGACAGGTGTGGGTGAAACTGAAGATGGAGTTCTTGCACTATCCGGTTCAGTTCGGCAAGGCTGGGTAGGACTCAACACAAAGTCTGCGCGAATTGATTGCGGCTTGTTGCAGGGGACTGGAACGCGAGAACAGATGTTCTGGCTTTGCGGCATTGTGTTCGTGCAGCACTTCTGCTGCACGACGAGTTGGAGAAATAATTCATTAATGCGAGGCCGTGACGAATCTGTGCCGTGTGACTGTGTGTGTGTGTGTGCTCAGGGCCCTTCTGACAGTTGCTCGCCTGATCTACCTTTTCGACACGCTCGGAGGTGGGACGGAAGTGCAGAGACAGAAATACTCAGAATGTCGACGGTGACCCTACGGCAGTGACTTCAGGTTTCTTGATGGGAGTCGTCGATGCTTGGCCTGCAGTTTTGCATTGGGGGCTCTATGATGCAGTGTTGAGAGAAATCTGAGGCATTTATTGGATGGTACTGTGCCAAAAAAGGTATGGACATCACTCTGACCAGCCTCTGGGGCCTGGCGAGCGGTCTCCTTTTCATATACGACTTCTTCGGTGCCCTTACGGAGCCTCTTCTGCTATCGCACGGCCTGCGCACGCGGAAAGGGAGCCATGGAAAACGACTAAGGGTGCAGTCGTGAACACCTTCAAGCTAGACTTCGTCAGAGCAGCTCGGACAAATGTGTGAAAGTCAGACTAGAAAGGCTCCTCAGACGTTGACGGTGTCTGCAGCAGCTTTTGCAAGGTTGCAGTCCTGCTTGCGCTTCCGCTGACTGACTTTCTGGCTGCCAGCTTCGGGTGGGAGCTCTTCAAGGAGCATGCAGCTCGGATGCAGTAGTAGATTTAGCTCTGCCTGGCTGCGCAAATCTGCGCAACCGCAGTGACACTGCGACCAAGGAGCGGAACGGAGGACTTCTGAAGCCGATTTTCGCGGGCGGACAGGCCGTCCCTGCAAAGCGGATGGACGAAGAGCAGGGCATCACCAAGCCGAAGCTCGTGCCTGGCTGCAGATTGGTCACTGCATTGAGCCAACAGCCGGAATCGAGACCTGCACCCCAGGACATATGGAAAGGGACAGAGGGTACAGCGCCGTACCCGCCGCACGCACCTTACGGCTATCCGGGGGCCGGAAACTTTGCCGGGCAGGACGGGCTCTTGCAGAACTGAGCACAGTAGCTTGAGCGCCAGCTGGTGGTTTCTCCCTTGCAGGAGATGCAGAATGCGGCAGATGGCTTTGCTCCCCGTCGATTTGACATTCCGAAGACGAAGACACAGCCCGTCTCTAGTCCTTGGTGATGCATCTTAGGTTAAACCAACAGCCCGACATGAGAGCAATGTTTGTTTCTAGTGAAATTCGTTGCCATGTGCCGCATGACGGCATGATGGCAGGTGGTCTTGTCGCCCCATTGGCGGTTTGCAGTTTCACTGTGGAAGCATCTCACTTCCGTAAGACTATCTGGCGTTGCACGGCAGCGTGAAGAACTGATGCGCGATGGCCTGATGCGTGCCTGACTTCGTGCTTGGTTGCTTCTCAAAATCAAAATGTGTGAATTGATCCAGGCTGCAAATCTCTTGCGTCGAAATCAGTTTCTTGAGGCAAGCATTCTTTGTATACTCTCTTCTTATGATTTTGATGTCGGCCCGTTGCAGACACTTCGGCGCAAGAGGGCCGCAGCATTGGCGTCGCAAAGGGAGGCCGATAGTCCGCGACGAGAAGCGCACAAGAGAAACTTAGCAAAGGCAGTGGCCTGATTTGTTGCTTCCTAGCCCGAGGACAGCACGGCACCTCAAGCCGTCGAGATCAAAACTCTCGCCACGCTCGTGGCGCAGGCCACCGGGAGCTGCTGAGCATGCAAGAGCCTGTTGCACCCAACTCGGTGCTGTCGAGCGGATCTCCGCGTGCTGCGATTTGCAGGAGCGGTCGTGGCTTCGACCTTTACTGTTGGCGGTCACGTCAGGGGCACAGCGCCTGGCGTGGCCCTTGGCAAAGCTATCGGAAGCCAAGGCACGGCATTGCATGGTGCAGTAGGCTCATGAAGCTGCGAGGCTCTGAGACTTCAAGCCCTTCTTTGGCGTTCTCTGGCTGTGCTGACAGACCCCGAGGCAAAATTGCCGCAGAAATCTTCAACAATCCGTTTTGAGATCGTTCATGTCCGGTAAGTGGTACTTGTTTTCTGCAGCTTATCGGTGCGTGCGGGAGGCCTTATTGGAGCCGTTCCGCCCTCAATCGATCCTTGCCACTGCAGTGTACAAGAGCCCCCCGTGACTGCTTAGCCGGAGCAGACTGAGGATGTTTCTGGAAGCACAGGAGATGATGGGTCAAGGAGCAGAATTCCATTTGCCCACTATGTCACTATGTGGAAAGACGAGCAGATGACAGGCTTTCCGAGCTCCAGTGTCGATGTGAGCTGGGTGGTGCAAGAGGAGCGCGAGTGCTCCCTCGCACCCTATCCTAGGAGCTCCGATATGCATTCCGTGGCAGGATGGGCTCTTCCGTGCTGCTTTTGGTGCGCATGTGACTGAGCCGTGGAACCGGGAACGGTTGTATCTCCAGTCAGCGCCCCAAATCCAGGGAAACCTCGTGCTGTGCATGTGAGATCGACCTCCCAGGCTGGAGCGCTCCGTCCTTGCCAAGCCGGGGCCGACCTTGGATGAGCGCACACAAGAAGCAGCGACCTCAGCCAAACCCACACTGTACCCTTCCGCACCAGCATGGCACTTGGTGAAAGGCTCTGTCCTCTGGTGACCCTTGCGACTAAGTTGCGCTCGGATGAAGATCGCGAGATGCTGGGCTCGGGTCTTTGCGCACCCCGGCTTGCCCCTCTGGAGGACCGGCAGAAGGCTACGACCCCTCGCGATCCCACCTCAAAGTAAGTCGTGCAGGAAGTCTACTGGCTCAATAAGCCGGCGGCTCAGCCAGTAGGCTGCACGATAGCTTTTCTGCAACTTGTGGCTGCCCTCGGCCTCGAGCCATCTCGAGCCCGGAGCTACCAAGGTTGGGCCTGCGCTTCAGATCGCAAGTGAAGTCGAAAAGGCGCCAACCCGTGCAAGCAAGCCCTGCCCGCTGCAGTCACAGCTGTAGGCGGCATCTCGTGGCCAGTCATCTCTACGAGCTGCGTCTCCCGGATGCAAAAACTGCAAGCTTGTCGTGGCAGAGCCAGTTGGCCCAACAAACTCACTAAACTCAGGCCTGGACGTAAGCCGAATCTCGCTGTTCCAAACTCCGTTGGCATCCAGAGACCTGGACATCACCTCAGCAAGCTTTGGCTGAGTGTGGGATTCTCAGGGTGCCATTTGCGACCATGCGACTCAAGTCAAGGCAAGAAGGGCCAGTTCCCTGGATGCCTTGGACAGCCGCGAGACGCGCGTTGCAGGTGAACTCCAGGCCGCGGATTCTTCGTCTTGGATTTGTCAGTGTCATGGATCTGCCTCGACGCAGGAGCTCTTCCACCGGTACCAGAAAGAGACGGAGAGTCATGTCGTGGCGCAGCTTGACAGTCGCATCAGTCTCAGAGCTTGGCACCGCTCCAGCTTGTCAGTTTGGAAGCCTGGTAAGGTTTGGACATGCTCGTGGAGCGCGGCAAAGCATTGCGGGCCGCTTTGTTGGAGGACCGGCACTTGGCGCTGACACTGACACGGCAGGTTTTCTCACTCGTCTGGCGGCTTCGGCTGTTTATAGCTGCTTTCCAAGGCCGAAGCGCTCCCGAGCGATGCGCAGGCCACGCAGGCCTCCCAGGCCGTGCAGGCAGCCAGAGAAGCCTACCGAAGCAACCTCCAGGCGTGTGGACCGCACAGGATGTATAGGTGCCGCTTGATCTCCAGCTTGTCTGGCAGGAAAGGAAGAAAGTGCGTGCGAGGCATGCAGACCGCGCTCGGCATGCAGACCGTACTGCAAAATATCGGCATGTCCGAAGGCGAGACGAGAAGGAAACCCTTTTCGAGCAAGTCTGCAAGAATCTCTACGGCAAATGGCGGGAACTGCGACAAGTGCGACAGGCTGGGCAGTCCAGTCGTTGATGTTAATTTTGATTGAGTGGTACATAGTATACTCGTATCAACACATATACAAACATGTGAAGATATAAGATACAAGATAACTAAGGCAACTAAGGCGTACGCATGCCCCTGTGTGACAGGATTTCGGCTTCGTGTCCACCCCGTGGCGCCTGACAGCGCAGCCTCAGGAGCTACTCCATAGACGGCTGAGATCCAAAAAGGAACATAATATGTGAACCATAACAGCTACACACAATACTATTCCTTTGTGTTCCGTCTTGTTTGAATAGAAGGATAAACACCAAAACCCCGCCAAAAACTGCAAACGCTTCGCGTCCTCTGCGTCGAGGAAGGGATGGTGGCTAGACTGAGGGTGCCCTGAGTCTCTGCGGGGTCAAAGCCTCGCAGTCGTGGTACATTGGGAGCCACATCCAATTTTTTGGTGGGGAGGGGGGGGGGGGCAAGTGTCCCCTTGCTGCACTGGGGAGGAGACAGAGTTTGCTCGAGGGGCCCTGAGGGGAAAGGGGGGGACCTTTGCCCGCTTTTATTCTAGGACCATGACCTCTCGGCCGACACTGAACGAAGGGCTGCTTGGCAAATATATGTAGCTGCACGACATTTTGAGAACTCTTGGTCTAGCATTGGCTTTTCAGGCCGAGGCATTTACTACATAGCTGCTTGCAGACTGACATGTGTAGGGAGCCCTTGCTGAAGGCGCGGAATGTGGATGCAGAGATAGAGGAGAGCAGCTATCTACAAGGTGGAGCGGCTTTGTCCCCAATGCTATGAAGATGTATGTTTCGGTTTGCCGTCCGCAGCCAACGAGCCGTTCGCGTGCTTCGAGTAGCAGCGGCGGCCGGTAGAAGTCCGCGGCAGGTTTCGCAGCTGAGCAAGAGCGTGCTCATGCCTCAGCTTTTGGGGGTTCGCCTGTCAATGCCGAGAGTTCCTTTCTTGCCAGAGCTCTGCAGGACAGTTGGACAGTCTTTCGAAGCTAAGAGCACCGTCTGGCCAGAGCTCAGGACCGAGTTCAGAACAAGTGGGACATGGCAAAGCGCGGGCCAGGCGAATTCCTTTGCTAGGCCGTGTCTCTGGCGCAATATCTGGGAATGAAGGCCAGCCATCCTACCGCTTCGAACTCTCAGCCACCGTGGAAATGACGTCTGCCGAGGTGCCTGCAGATGTGAAAAACTGCGTCTCCGATAGTGAAATCAACCAGTCGGTTGAGGTGATCGTTATTCAGAGTGCGACTATTTTAACTTATTTCATTTAGCATGCCACTCTTGCCTCCTCACCCACTGCCACGTTTCGACACCTGGAACCTCGCCTTCTCAGCCCCCTTCACCTCCGGCACAGAGCCTGTTGTGACCTTGCCTCGCAGGCACTGTCTGTCACCCTCAGCATCGAAAGTCTGCGAGATTTCCTTTTGGTTCGCTGCCCCGACCTAAAGAACCATGAGCTCGGCTAATGTTTTTAATATTTCAAGTTCCAAGATGTTTCATGCTTAACCCGAAGCTGGAAGCGTCCTCGGTCTTCCTCGTCTATTCACCCTTCTGAACCGTAAAAAAAAGCTCCGTCTTCTTCTGGGCGTCGTCGTGGTGGCCAGCTCTTGGAGCTGTCAGAAAGCCTCAGGTCGTCTCTTTAGTGTCTCATGCCCATACCTCAAGTGAAGTGGATCGACTCGACTCCCCGACACCCTTCCCAAAAGCCAGCGACTTGCAGGTGCTCAGTGAACTTTTTGTGGCCATCTGCATCTGAGAACAGTTTTGCAGCCCATTTCACTTCCCAAAGCCTGTTACAGCCTGTTTTGAAGTCCTCACCGGCCCTCACAGCCCTGCCATCTTCTCTGCTACCTCCCCGGTTCTGCCCGGATCTCCCCGGATCTTTCGCGGTTCTCGCCGGTACTTCCCCGATACCTCTTGGCACAAGACGGCACGTGCTCTGTCCGACTGTGGCGTTTTGATCATTGCAGCACAAGATTTGGCCAAAAGTGGTTTTGCTGCCCCCAAAAAGTGCCATTTGTGACGCTTTTGGCTTTGGAGGGCCGGTTTTGTATTCGTTTTTGCCTTTGCTCTTCTGCCGGTCCAAAGTCGGAGCTGCGACCTCTGGTCCTAGCCCCGCTGGGCCACCTCAGTATAAGTCCACCATAGATGTTTAATGGATTCCTGCATGGCCAGGAAATACATAACACATAGTATTGCATCGAATCTAGTCGACGCCAGGGATTTCAGGTCTGCACGTATCACTCTCAACAAGTTTGTTCCTTCTCTCTGCTTCGATGAGTCTCGCGTAGCTGCGTTGCGTCGAGCTAACTGCACGGAGGCCTACCCAAGGAGACACTAATGATTTAGTAGACTGGCGAACTATGTGGATAGTGATGTCAAGATGCCCACGGGGAAAATGGTGAAAGCTCTCCTTCGAATTCGTAGTTTTTGTTTCATAATTCCAATCTCCTTCGGGTGTGCTCCCCGGGCCGGCAGATTCGCAAAGGCCTCCACAAGCTCTCATATTTACTTAATTAAAATGGTTTGAATAGGTTGACGAAGATGCTGAAGGCTGCTGTGAGGCAGAGCCGCGTCAAGGGGGGTGGTTGTGGGAGAGGTAGAAATAGACAGAGCTCAGAAACAACGAAGCTTGTGGTGCATCCGTACGAGTGATATCTCGTCTGAGGCATTGCGGTCACGTGCCTACGATGGGATCGTCGGCGATGCAGATGCCTCTGCGGCTGCGGAGGACAAGTTTTGTGGAAGGAAAAAGATCAGCGAGGTATCGGATCCCGGCAAAACATGCTAGGCTCAATTAGGCTGCATTGCATGAGCTACATCCTCCCGACCATCGCGGTAGCAGGAACTGGATCGCCGGCAACTTGCCAGCCGCGTGCGAGTTTGCGTGGAGTGCCGGGTAAGTGACCGGGTTGTGGGGAGAAGTCCCTCCATGTCCATCAGTCACTGGTCCGCAATTGCTCGACTGCATAGCAGGATACTGTATTGTGGTGCTTGCTCCCAATTTCTGGGTCAGATGGAACGACTTTCAAAATCTTCAGACCTAGCAGGTTGGGACACCGGCAGCACTTCTTCGGCCGCAGTCTTGCTGGAAGAGGCCGGGGTCAAATCATATCAGATGATGCCATCTCTGTGGCAGAGTCTCACCGGCAAGGTTCCTGGAACTCTGCCAGGGGCGCCTGACTCCATTCGGCCTGTGCATAGCCGCGTGCTTATCGGGTCCCCACTCTAAACGGCTTGCAATCGGACGGAGGGTGGCGGCGGCATTCATTTTGCAAGCTTTCCAGGCTTCAACCTTGCAGTGCACGTAATGCCCCAGAACATCTCTCTGCTGGTCTACGTTTCGGCAGGAGGCCCCTTTTTGTCAGGTCTGCGCATCTCCACGCCGCAGTAGTTTGAAACCCGGGCGTGCGAGGGATCTGGCAGGTTGGTGGCCTCGTTGGCACGCTGCTCGGGAGGTGGGTGTGACGGAATCCGCGCGAGTCTGGATAGTGATAGTGTCTTGATCATACTTTTGCATGGCTGCTAGGTTCAGTTAGACATTCCGAGTCCAGAAGCCAGAAGAGTGAGACTTGCCTGAACTGGACTTCGCAAGACGGTAGCGAGCCTGTGTCTTCTGCCTACATGTGCTGCTGGCGCACACAGCTCTTCAGATGCTTAACTTCAAGCCTCATTTCAAAAACACATGAGATGGCTTATCAAAGACGCGGGGCTCTATGGTCAACAGCTTTGGCCACTCCAACAGGCGGTTTATGGCGCGCAGTGTGGGTCAAGACTTGTCGGAGCTGGATTATGGAGAACAGTTTTACAGCAAGTCTTGTTTTCAGTTTCATCCCAGGACGCATGCTGCGGTTCTCGAGCAGCGTCTCCTCTTTGGGCCAGGTGCGCAGCTGTGGAAGCCGTGAGGAGCCAAAGGCAGAGGAGCAGGCCTGAGCACATCCCCACGCGAGGAATGGATGACCTCGGCGAGGAGGATGGCCTGCTGTACGGAGCTCGGCATTTCACTTGCTGCTGCGAGACCTCCGACACATCCATAAGCTTCGAAGGGTGCGAATGTTGGAGTCAACATCGAAAAATGCATACGCACTGTGGCAGAACATGAAGCAAAGTCTGCATAGACGGCCCTTTAAGACGACATGCATGTGTTGCATCGTTTGCACGACAGACATCCAAGCAGGTAACGCATGACACTCAAGTTGACACGATCAAACACGAGGCCATACTATGTAACAAGTGCCCCACAAAGGTTGCTAGAATGACTACCATTAGGGGTGTCTTGAAAGGGCCTCTCAACTGATTTTGACTTAGGTCCCATACTTTCAAAGGCGAAGTGGCCGTGTGCGTCTCCTGGCCTGGAGGAGGTCCCACGAGCGGGAACTAGGGCTTACTGTAATGGTTTCTAGAGGGGTCTGTGACTGTTGTGCGAGACCTCTTCCGTACAGCACAGGTCGAGGTGATTATGTCGTGCCACCACCAGCTCCATTGAACGCAGAAGGCGCTTGCGGCCAATGCGCCCACAGAGCCAAGATAATATATGATATAAAATTATAAAAGTTGGTAAAAATGCTGCTGGAAGGCCAGCCTGTGGCCAACTTGAAGTGTTTGCCGCATGCCCGAAGCCGCGATGCGAGTGCGGTAGTGCAGGGAAGATCAGTGAAGTGTCCCTGATCTCAGGCCATGCTTCGGCTCCCGATCTCCAGTCTCGCAAAAGGCCTCTTTCCTGACTTTTTTTGCCAGCTCTTCCTGAAAGGCAAAGGCTTCTTTGTCAGTGCAACCCGAGGAGGAGCCCAAGCCCGAAGAAGAGCTGGACAAGATGCGAATGGACAGTGAGGACCGCGTGGTACCAGGATGTTGTGTGAGGCCATCCTCATCTCTGAAAGCGCCAGGCGCCTGAAGTGGGGACAACGTCTACGGAATTCCGCGGGAAGGCGCAGGGATGTCCTCCGTGCATGGTGGATTGGACAAAAGACAAACAAAGATGCAAAGATGCCAAGGGACCAGAAGGAACACGGCTTGAAGACGCACACCTCTGTATCTCGCCAAGCTTTCCAAAAAATTGAGAACACAGTATGGCCTAACCGGCATCGCTCGTCCTTGAACAGTGCTCGGGGAATTTTCGGGCAGTGACAGCTAAGAGCTCACTAAGGTCGCCGCCGCCTCGGCAGCGAGGACACGCAGGAAGCGTAGTGACTTCCTTGAATATTCGTCCATACCGTGTGTTCGGGTAGCTGTAGTATGGGAGCCAGCAGGCTGGCCAGCTGCGTGGCCTGCGAGTGGAGAAGTTACTGCAGCGAGTGGAACGGGCAGGCCTGCGAGACGAAAAGCTCAAGCGAGCCCCCAGACCCGAAAGCCTACACCAGCGCCCAGCCGTGCCACTGGCATGGCAAAGCTGGCACCAGGCAACGGTCCCCCAAGCTTCTCAATGTTGCCGCATGCCACGAACTTGGCTTGGCCAGCCGAACGGATGAAGCCAAATACCCTTGAATATACCTCGCCTGGAGAGTCCGAGCGGCCGAAACCACAAATGCCTTGACAAGGTTTCAGGGCCGTGCGTAATCCTTAAGTGGGTGTCCAACGTTTTGTAAGCAGGTATACCGACATCGTCTACTGTAGTTACCTTCTTACGGTCTGTTGCGCAGGTATGGACAGTGAGCGGCTTTTGGTTCCCGGCTTCGAAACCGAGGCCCGCAGTGTCGGCAGTGGTGCATGGGCTGTGAGACGACGCACTACAATTCAGAATAGCAGTGGCAGCAAGAGCCAAAACAGCAGTAACATTGCATAATCATGACAGTGGCGGTTACCAGAATGATGATAACATGGCAGAAGTCCAGAAGATCAAAGGACATGTCCGCAGTAAAGATAATCATACTTGGCTCATTTTCCTGAGGTGAGACAGGAGAAGGAAGCGAAGCAGGAGCAGGAAGCATCTGACGCGAAAGCTGGAAAGCAAAAGGAAAGCGTGCAACCTGTCTTCAGCAGAAGCTTTGTTTAGGTCAGGTTCGGTCTCTGGAGAAGAGTTAAGCCGGCCCAAGGTACCAGATGGACTTTCGCAAGAGGACTCCCGACTGAACATAGCAGTCAAGATGTGAGTTCGGACCCCTAAACTGCTCTAAACCCGAAACCCCGTGCACACACCAAAAACACACCCTTTTCTCTAGAAGCCCTAGAAAGCCCTGTCCACTCTGATGTAAACCCTCAACTCCCGTCAGAGCGTAAACACCCGAATCTCCCTAGAAAGCCAGGAAACCTTATGAACCCTATAAGCCCTAAGAATCCCTAAACCCTAAACCAGAGAAGATTAGGAGGCAAAAAAACCCTAAACCCTTCGTCGATTGCAGCTACTGCCTTTGTTTATATGGTTTGCTAAGGGTTGTTTTGTTTTCAGTTTGGTTACCTCTGTTGTAAGAAACTTGACATTTGCAATCCAGACGGCTTTATCTTGTACAAAGAGAGTGGATTTCTGAGATGGGGTCCGTCCGTGGGTTATCGGTGTCTGTTCGGGCTAGTACGGACTCCTTCAGAAACCTGCAAGCACAGGTGAGTTCGGCGCAGGCATCCTCTTCTAACGTAGCCTACTCGGTTCCTTCTTCGAAGAGGTTGTTTTGCCCCGGGACTTGCAACACGTTACGACTCTCGAAGCTTTGTTCCCTGCAGTGCGACCTAGTCAGCGAAGCGGGTGGGAACAAAACCCTAAACCCTAAGAATCCCTAAACCCTAAACCCTAAACCCTAAGAATCCCTAAACCCTAAACCCGCGAGTGTGAGAGCCGAAACCCTAAACCCTAAACCCTAAACCCTAAGAATCCCTAAACCCTAAACCCTAAACCCTAAACCCTAAGAATCCCTAAACCCTAAACCCTAAACCCTAAGAATCCC